TATCAAACTTTTACTATCAAATTAGGTACTTTTTAAGTTACCAAAGCAGGGCCGATTTACCGAATAGGCACGGTAGGCACGTGCCTAGGGCGCGAGGCAATTGTCATTTTTGGGGGGCGCCAAAAAATTGGAAAATAACAAAAATTGTGGCTGTATTTGCACGCGATCGCGGTAAACTGATAATCCCTCGCGGCCGTGTAGACATCTTAACAGTCTCCCGCAATTGTGGCAAGATGTTAATTTTTCCTGTGGTTGTGTATACGTCATCATTGTCCGTCTCCCGCGATCACGGCAAAATTCTGACTATTTTCGGCGGACGTGTGGACAGCATAATTGTCGTCTTCCTTGATCGCGGCAATATATGAACACATCCCGCGGTCGTGAGGAGATTATCACCGTCTACCGCGAATGAAGCAAAATTCTAACCTTTTCCCGGGGTTGTGTGGACATTATCATCTTCTTGCGTGATCACGATAAAATTCTGATAATCCCTCACAGCCATGAAGACATCATCGCCTCCCGCGGTCGTGAGGCATTGTGATCCCCTCCCGCCATTGCGGCAAATGGTACTCATCTCCCGCGGTCGTTTGGAGGTCTTCATCGTCTTTTGCGAATGAGGCCAAATTCTGATCTTTCCTGTGGTGGAGTGGACATTAACATCGTCTTACGTGATCGCGGTAAAATTCTGATCATCCCTCGCAGCCGTGTAGAAGAGCCATCATTATTGTAACTCCCGCGATCCTGTAGACATCGTAATCGTTTCCCGCGGTCGTGAAGACATCGTAATCGTCTCCCGCTGTCATGAAGACATCGTAATCGTCTCCCGCGGTCGTGAAGACATCGTAATCGTCTCCCGCTGTCGTGAAGACATCGTAATCGTCTCCCGCGGTCGTGAAGACATCGTAATCGTCTCCCGCTGTCGTGAAGATATCGTAATCGTCTCCCGCGGTCGTGAAGACATCGTAATCGTCTCCCGCGATTACGGCAAACTGTTAATAATATCCTGCAGTCATGTGGAGATCATTATCGTCTTCCCCGATTGTGGCAAATTTCTGACTGTTTCCCGTGGTTGTGTGGACATTATCTTCGTCTTCTGTGATCGCGGCAATATTCTGATCATCCATCGCGGCTCTGTATATCTTATTATCGTTTTGCGCGATTGCGGTGAAATCATGATCATATCCCGCGGTCGTTTAGACATTATCATCGTGTCATGCGATCGCGGCAATATTCTGACCATCCCTCGCGGCCTTGTGGAGACATATTATCGTCTCCCGTGGTCACGAAAACGTCGCTGTTGTCATGCGCCATTGCGGTAAATTGACAATTCCAGGTAGAAATACAAAATTCATGCATAATTTCGGGTTAAAAAAATTCCCGCTTAATTCCCAGATTTCCCGGTTGGTAGTCACCCTGTTATATATATTGCAAAGGGGCGCTAGTATTTTAGTTGTGCCTAGGGCGCTGACATAGTCAAAAACGGGCCTGTACCAAAGTGTTTGTTTTTCCAGTGCTGTTTGCGGGCTACATTCGTCATGCGCAGGTGCGGGAATACTCTCACTGTCGCCCTACCACAGGTCCCAGAAAGTGTACGAACCTACTCGCTACGACTATCGGCTTAGTATCTGTCATCGGACTATTCATTGTTGCCAACTGGCAGATGACTTCGGCTATTCGTGTTCACTACTTTGGATCTCAATGCTGCTTCTATGGAGCCAACATATATTTTATTTTCCAGGTTTGTTGACTTCAGTGCATAAATGATTTATTGTGAGGGATACAGTAAAACCCCTCTTAATTGTATCCTGTGGTACCGAGACTAAGAAAGTTTACTGTACTGAATAGACAAATTCCTTTAAAATCATTGCAAATTGGAAAATTATAATGGTATTTAATTTAGATAAACCAGTGTTCATATAAATAATAATAGATATATAGTATAATTGTATTTGCAGAATATCTATACCGTATATTACTAGAAAACTGGGGCTCATAAAAAACATGTTGTAAAAATACAAAAAAAAGTTCCATGTGCCAAAGGTTCGATATAAATTTCTTGTATGATCGCATCAAGTGTTAAATAAAATTTACAGGTATTTAAGGTATAAATTTTGTACTTGTTACCATTGGGCTTTCCTTCCAAATGTCTTTAAAATGTTAATAACATATAATTACTTCTCTATAAGAAACAAACATTGAAGATTAACAAGAGCTAAAGAGAGTCAAGAGTTAACAGTAAAATGCATTTTTAAATATTTACAATTGAGAGTAATGTTACATTGTATAACGTATAGATGATTTATTAATTCCCAATGCATCATAAGACTACAAAGAGTTGCCCAACAATACAATTAGATGTCTTACAAATTTAAAATTTAAGTCAAATGAGAAAATACAACTATTTGTAAATTGGTAACCAGTATAGGCCTATGATCAAATAGGTTTACTTTCCCTATAGGTAGTTTAAAATGTTCATATGGTCATGAATCAGGTTGAAGATTAAAGAGAATGTTAATTCCACTGTCTTTTAACAATATTAAGGTTAACTGGCTGCATGCTTAAAAACAGCTACATATATAAGTAAGGTACAGAGGAAACATTCAATGGTACACTTTAAGTGGTGTGTCTACACTAGTCACTGGTGTTTAGGGAAAGCCAAACACCACCCTTGCCCTCATTTACTACAATGCTTGTCATGGTGGAGGAAGACCCTGTGCCCAGTGTAATAGGAATTTCCCCACAAACTCGCCACTTGGGCTCTTCCATGCTTGTAGCAAGTACATTTTAAGCACAACATACCAGAACGGGCCGTCCCATAAAGAGGTTCCCTCTGTACCTTACTTCTCTGTGATCTATGGTAACAATTTCAACTACTATATCTTTCTGTCAGACAGTGTTCTCCTTCTGGATGGCCCCACAGCTCAACTCTCTACAGATATTCGTACTAAGGGCTCTACTCAGTTTGCTCATGGTCTCCCTCAACATAGGCACCAATGTTTGCAACTACATGGCCTGGAAGCTATATAACAACTTCAACCCAAGTAAATAGCGTGTCTTAACTTATGATAGTTTCAGTATAGAGTACCCTACCCCTTAACCACGCTCGCGGGGGTATGACATACCCCCGCGTATGTTAATTTTGTCATAATTTTACAAGTATGGTGGCAACCGTGGTAAGCATAACAGTATCTGCCTAAAATAGTACCATACTATCATCTGGCCGCAGAGTTGTTAGTCTTGACCGAGTCATTGACCTATTTCCTATATTATCACCACCCTGGGTCTGGCATACCCCCACGCGCATGGTTGTGTTACCAGTACTATGTTCATTAGGGGGTCTAGTGTACCCCGTGGGCATAGTAGTGTCTCAGTTTTATTATCATAATTAGTATTAATATAATTTATTGATACCAAAAGTTATAAGTATTAATAACTTTATAACTTTATCATTACATAAAGTTATAAGTATTAATAACTTTATAACTTTATCATTATAATTTTTATAGTATTGAAAGTTTGCCAAACAAACTTAGTATCTGCAAACCAATTGGATGGAAATGTTCAACCATAGAGTCCACTGATCTAGCCTCCCAGTGCAAAGGCACTTCTGCCTTGATAACCAAATTTGCCTTGGACAAAAAGACGCCAAGACCAAATTCAAGTGTAAAACCTTAAGAATCCAATGTTCCGGGGACAAATTTAAAATAATTGTGAAGTGTGTTTAAAAGTACTTCTAAACCAACCACTGGACGAGGATGTTTGAAAAAAAAAACATACACTACCTACCATAGAATTTTTTAAATTTATCAATTTTTTTTACAGTATTTTCTACAAATTGGAAAATGTAATTTATGAAATATTTACTGTTTCCATAGTTTTATACAAATATAATACTTTTGTGAAATTAAAAATAACATTTGTTTGCAATAAAACTTGTTTAACTACAATTTTTCCCTCTCTAACACCATTATTACATTTCATGATGAAAAAATTAAGGGTTCAAACTATTATTTTAAAATCAATAAATTAAAGGATATGGTAGGATCATAAAATGTACATAACATCATGAGAAAATGAATATAGATTTGAAGTCTAAAGTTTAAAGAGCTAAATATAAAAAAGCCTTTTTCATACCCATTTTTATTTGAGGGTCTGTTAGACCCCCGCACGCGCACCAGCGCAAAAAAAAAAGAAAAAAAAACAAGCACATGTGCTTAAGGGTTAAGTGATTCTAGGTTGAGTAACCTAAAAGTTAAGTTAAAATGGGCAACTAAGTAAACCTTTAAAATACTTGAAAAACTCTGTGATTTTTCTGGCTTTATCTTCTTGTGTGGTGAATAGCAAAACTTTTACATTGTTATAGCTATGAGATGGAATGAAAGTCTCTAGATAAAATCTGTGCAAACCTTGTATTAATGATATATACATATAAATGCATTAAATGCCCTATAACTGAAGTCACAAGATGGTGCATTTTAAATCTAATTAGGTGTTATTAAGCACAAAAAAGACTAAAACTCTCACAGAATACACATAGTTGATTCTTTACTTGACCTACATAGGTTTCGATTAGATACCTTACTATTACTTATTTTAAGGACTGAAAATTTAAAGATTACATTTATTTGTGCATTGGTGTTAGAGTGGAAAGAGCTATTTTGATCACAACTGTGTTTGAACTTGGTACATATCTTCAACCTTGTATTTCTATTGAATAATTTTTACAACCAATATTTTATTTGCACTTTGTATGTGTTAAGGTGTATAACGCAGAATAAATTATTTTGTTGTATTTTTATTGAGTTTGAGGTTTGGCTTTTGTTGGCCTTGTCTTAGTGCATTACCTAACATTTCATAGGATAGGAATTGACTAAGCAAACACAATTGAACTATAAGTCTATCCTCCTAAGCCTTTAGCATTCACACAGTGTTTAGCTACTTTGTAATATTGTAAATACATGCAATCCTCTCTTGATATAATTCTTCACCTATTCCCTGGGTTGACATAGACACAAGCTGTTACTTCATACATTTATTACAATCTTTATCAATACTTTACACAGATTCCAGTTACAAAGACCATCTACTGTGGAACCCTACAGACCCAGGCTATGGCTGGCACTTGGCCTACACCATCATGGAGTGGTGTTTAATGTTAACTCTCTCTCTGGCAGTTCTCTCTTTCTTCCCCGATTTCCAGAGGATTAAATTGGAAGAACCAGCAATAAAGGTAGAAACAATATGTACAGCACATAATGAGTATAGTCATCAATTGAAAATGTTGATAGTTTTTCAGTATTCCAACTAATTTTTATTTGACTGCTGAACATTTGCTTTGTTTATCTGCCATCTTGTCATGTTGTAGTTCTTTCTTAGTTTAAGTATCCCTGATCTACTATGATCAGAATTAAGTTTTCAAAATGTCATGAAGCTTAGTTTATTGATCTATGTGGAGTAATGGAAAATATCTGCAATGAGCCTGCAAAAACTTGCAATTAGTAACAATGGATTTTAAACAAGTACCTATATACTTAAAAAGAATTCAAAATTCTTGTTGTTTTAACACCCAAGGTATAGTTACAACCTTTTACAATAAACAGCACAGATAAACTAAAATAGATTCTATTTACAATTTTGTTAAAAAAGTCTTATTTGCATTTCACTTAGGAAAATGATACAGAGAAATGATTAAGTAAACAAAAACTAGAAAGGTGAAAGTTTGGAGTGACTATCTTTGAACAATGGACAAAAAGTGCTTAAGCATATATATGATATTTTGATTGTTCTATTATTATGTTTGTATTTATTGAATTTAATTGAAAATTAATTAATACACTTTGTGCAGATGAAAAGGCTGTGGAAAGATGAGCGGTCCAGCACATCAAGAGTATGAGTGGTTTGGTCATAAATAAAATGTATATAATAAATATTAGCAAGTTTTGTATTTCACCGACTAATTATTTGCCCACAACTAAAATGCATCACAGTGCAGCCGTTCAGGCTCCTTACTAACAGTTGTGAGTGTTGTCTTTTAAATATCACTAAAACAGGTAAAACAATGATATACAACAACCTTAGGACAAGAGTTAAATTGTAGCTGTGTCCTATTAATTATAATTCTTTTGGCTATCTGGATAATCTCTCTTCCTCTTCTAAAACAGCTTGTAGGTGTGTGATATAATCCTCAACTAGGACATCACTGGGGTTTTCCTTATTTATCTGATTGCTTGTCAGACATAGATCTGCATTACATGCAGTCATGCAGTGAACTCTGGAGTTTTTGTTGTATTTTTGTCAACTTGGTCTAAGGAGCCAAAACACATTTGCACAGTTCACTTAAAAATATTGGTTTCTTATTGAAGTGTCCTTTATTCCTGTTAATGTTGATTCAAAAAGAAATTATCATGAAACCTGGATAAATAACTGTTTTTATATCAAAACACCAGTACATATGAAATAAGAAATAGAAAGGTAAATGAAATATGGCATTTTTTTTACAAGTTTATCCTTTCAGTCACTTATAGTGATAATCTTAACTAACTCTTAACTATTTGGAATTGTGTATGCTGCTAATTCTGGGTTCTGCTACATTTTTTTTGACTTTCTTAGGTGATAATTATAAATTTTCTTCATTAACTGTAGTTTTTTCAAATTTATATTTCATACTATTATACATTACGTACTCTGTGTGCTTACTATTATTCACGAAGTTTAAGATTTTGGTGGCGTTTGTTATAGGAGATATCAAAGAGTACACTGCTTTTGGAGGAAGTGGTTCTAACCCATATGTTTTGTGGGGTAGTTGGGTAGTCCAACGGGTTCCTCCTACATCAAAGTTCGATACGCTAACCACAACGCCAGCCAGGGGGGAGCGAGCTGGTGTAGTGGTTAGAGCGCGGGACTTCAGTCCCTGAGGTCCCGGGTTCGATCCCCGCCAAGTCACCAATGGATTTTATCTAAGTGATAATGCCGTAACCCCTAGGTCTAGCCTGAAGTAATGTGAAAAACAATCCCAGGCTCGTGCCTAGCGTCCTTCCTAGGAAAAAAAAAAAAAAAAAAAAAAAACCACAACGCCAGCAACACACCCAAAATCAATGTACATTGTAAATTTATTATATTTGATATTTATTATTTATATTTAAAGGTATAATTTAGATTTAATTATATCATAGCACATTAAGCTAATCATTTTACAATTAGCTTTGTAAAATGAAAAGGACTTATTTTTCCTTAGCATATTATTAGGTATATTACAAATTTATACTTTTATTGCTGACAAAAATTACAGAAATCAAATGAACATAAATCGGTAATTTAACAAATCACTCGAAAACAAAAATTTGCCACACATTGTGTGTGATTGAGCCAATTATTCCTCCCTACCTTCAAACCATTGCATTAACATTAACATACCGAGGCTGTTAAATGGCACTGTAATGATCATGACATAGGGATTCTGCTTAATGAAGGAGAATATGAAAGTCAAACCTGAATGAAAGCCAGCCAGCATTAACTATATTGTGTGATGGTCAAGGTCACATGACAATCAGGTCAGTTGTGCAAGTGCAATCCTGTGTCCTGCCAAGGCCAAGGTCACAGCAGCATGGGAACTCAGGATCAGTCTGTATCTTCCTGCTCACGTGCTACAGCTGCTGCTAGTACTATCTCCAGCTAATCCCTTCCCCATCTAATACTATCCCCAGCAAAAACCATACCCATGTTAATACCCTCCAACTAATATCATATCATCCACCTAATACCAGCCACTACCATTGACTTAGATACAAGATTATTTCTATCACACCAGTTTTATTTTAACAATAAGGGGTCGCAAAATGAGTATTTGCATTTTAAATTGTTGAATTTCCCCCTATCTACCCTGAAAGAGGGAGGGGGGCAAAATTTTGATTTAGAGCAAAAAGCTAGAAAAATCATCATAAAATGATATGTTGAAGTTGCAAAATTGTATCTTAAGCTGTTAAATTTGTTAATTTATTTATGGGTGTGTAAAGACTTTTTCAACACTCTGTAGTATATTAATTAGTTAGTATATTTTTAATTTATTATTTCTAAATCCACCTGGTCTGATCTGATGCCTGAAGGTCAACATTTTTGACTCTACCTGAGAGAAATAAAAAATGTCAGACCCCGACCTAAGACCCCTAATAGTAGGCCTATTACTAAAAAAATAATAGACTTATTTATTAGTGAGTCTCCTAGGTCTTTTTGCTGATCGGATTGATGGAAACAAAAGGTAAATTCATCAAGTTGAAGCAATACCACGTGTACTTATAAACTCATAAAAGTTCCAACCTTCCGAAGAATCTGAATATAGAGAGGGGCCTCTCTGGTGAGAGCCGCCAGGACATCATAGATTCGAAATACGGCCCTGCTCACCCCCAAATAATTCTACCCCCAGCAAATACCATCCTAAGGTAATACCATCCCCAGCAAGTACTATTACCAGCTAATACTATTCCCAACTATTATCATCCCCAGCTACAACTAACTTATCTTCCCTAGTTTGTGGTACTAACCTTATAATACTACTCCAGTTTATAGTATCCCTTGTTAATACTATCCTCTACCCAGCAAATCATATTCCCAGCTGATCATATTTGGCTATGATCCAGGAATTGTTTGTGGTCTATAGTATAATTTTTGCAAATTTCACAACCAGAACTTTAAATTACAATAAATGTCAGGCGTACATTTATATATATAAATATATTTTTGAACTAATTAGCAAACCATTCATTGTTAAAAAGTGTTCACCCTCAATCGCATTCCAGAGAGGTATGGAAATGGTATTATGTAAATATGAGTTTTTGTACCACAGAGATATTATTTTATTTATAGCCGTTATTTTAGCAGTACATTAGCTAAAACCGTTCCCCGCATTGCCTTGGCCCTCCTCTACGTAATAAATGAAAAACTATACTACCAAGTATGCTTTGTTGACATTTTAGATTTTGAAGAAAAAATATTCTATCGATGATACAGAGTCTCTCAATCACCTTTTTGTCTTAATCAATTTTGAGTTTAAAAAAACACCAAAGTAAGTACTAAGTATCCAGCAAAATAATTGTTTATACTTCTGCAATAAAAATATAAAAAATTATGATTTTCTTCTTACCTCATCAGGAGAAAATTTTCATTCGACAATATTACTTTATTGGGTTATTTGACAATTAGTTTCTTTTACATATTTTAAAGTGCCATATAATGCCACTTCGCCCATTAGTTACACAAATAACTATAACTATTTTACCTACGACCGTAAACTGAGCCATTTCAGTTCAGTTCTTAGAATTGAAAAGTTCCACTTAACAGCTGTTTACTTTCATATCAACATAGTTTCATTTCATATCAGCATAGTTTTTATCATATCAACACGGGTAACGGACCAATGAGGTTCAAGGATTGAGAGAAAAGAAGTACAATTGTAATACTTCAATGTCAACTAATCAGCTGATCAGTTGACAATTTTAATTGTTGATCCGGCTTGTTCCTGTTGATACTCGCGTATTCTTAACCTAAGTTGGTGGAAGTTAAATAAAGGTTGATCTTAAAATATCAGTTAGTGAAAGTGATGTTGACGAGATAGAAATGAGAGCACAATTGTTTTGCCACCAAAATCAAAACAAAGGTACCATATGCAATTACATACCAGCAATTCATTAAATGGACGAAACAAAATAAGGTTAAATTGATAAATGAAAATGTTCTTCTGGTTTATTTTGAAACCCTCTTAACCACTTTTTCACCCAACTCGTTGTAGACCACATATTCGATGCTGAAATCTAACTGTAAATTAACTGTTTCACTATATTATTCAGTTGTCCAAAAATATATGCAATATTTCCCTAATTGTACCTGATACAGAATTATGGCAAGAATGCTGCTAGCAGAACCTATTGCCTGAAAAAGTAACGTATTATTTAACAAAGTTTTACAAACACGTAATTACATGAAATCAGCTGATTATACAATAAGTCGTTGCATCACTTTCAGTGACAATGACAATAAACGAAAACATAACCTCTCTAGGAAGTTATGAGTAGTGATTGTTAGTAATAAAAAACCAGATTTTTAGTAATTAAAAAACGCTCGTAGGTAAAGTAGTGTACGCAACTCGCGTTAATAGTCTTTACGACACTCGTAGAAGTTTTTAAGGCACGAGCCTTTTTTTATACTCATGTCGTAAAGACTAACTTAACGCAATCGTTGCGTAAACTACTATTACGAATATTATTATAATGTTTATTACTTTTACGTTACTTAAAACAAAGAAAATTTTCGGAATAATAAACAGTTTGATATACAAAGGTTGTTCAGTAAGTGAAGTGCCGAATTCTGGGAAATAGTTTTATGGATCAAAATAAAGGGAATTCCAAGAATTATATACCTAATTTTCTCATTTAAGGTGCCTTTAGAATTTAAAGCATTGTAATCTTAAAAAATACATTATGAATTTGACTATCTGAAGCTATTTTGAATATGGCTTAAACATTGTCATAACTAGTTTATATACCAACCGATTTTTACAATCCAAGTGTCGTTGAATCAAGGTGCTTTCAATGTGGTGTTAAGTTAGATTAATTAAAAAGGTTCAAAGGTATAAATAAACGTAAAATGGCGGATATTTGGCAAACAATGTGTTTTGAAGCCATAATTAATTTAATTAAAATTTTGACAGTTAAAACTATTTCCTGAAGTATGACAATTTACTTGCTAGACCCCTACACCATTCCAACCCTGAGTCCATTTAGGTGGTTTTATCTGAATTCCACCACAACTTCCACCTTCCACCTGCGTCCCTGACGTCACAGGACCTTGGAGGAATGATGGACGACACGTCTTCTATTCATCACCTGGGGTTCCCACAGGAGTAGGAGGGGGAGTGATAACGTTTGTAGGCTGCCCCTCTCCTGATAACAGTCAGTACAGTGTGTTGATAACAACGGCGCGGGACAGAACCTACTGCGCTTGCGTTGTTATTGTCGCGTTGTGACTGTGCGTTGTGTTGACGGACTTTTGTGATCACGTTCAGATTAGGTAGATGTAATTTAGTTAAACTTTTTATAAATATTAAACATTTGCTAATACTAAAATACAATTTGTGACGTATCCTCTGAATCACTGTGATGCATTTGAAAAAAAGATAGGTTAAATTAACTTGTGTATGGTTGAATATTATTTCTAGGCGATTCACATGGTTATTCAAAACATTTAAAACTTGTTTGATAAATTTATAATATTAATAATAATTTTATTTGTTACTGTTACACAATTTTATGTTATATAGCAAACGTCATCACGAGCATAAATATAAACTACATAAAGTTTACAATAATATAAAATAAACTGTTTTTAGTAATTTAATTAATACATAATAATAGGAAAAAATACATAATTATAATTAAAACTGAATTGCATAAGGAATACTGTGTTGTAGTGAAATTTAAATGCAATATATGTTATGATTTGTTTACTAGCCTACATGCGAAAATATAACTTTAAAAACAACTTTTCAAAATTAAGTTTACAGAAATTAATTCTACTGTACTTATAATTTGTTTATATTAACTTACTGTATAATTTGTGTTTATAATAAATTTCTTAAATATTTGTTGGTTTTAAATTTATTTTTTAAACTAGAAATAACCATGTTTACATACCCATGTTAAAACTGACTGAAAAATACGAAAGCTTTGTTTAATTGAGCAGAGAACGAATTAAAATTCCGGCTTACGGTTGCATGAGAAATTATCATTTCATAATAAAATTTATCCTAAAGTAATTATTATCAAGTTTTCTTTTATTTACACATGAAATCGTATAATCTGTTGGTATTGAAAATTCCAATTTTTATTTTACCCTGAAGGATTCTATGGCCGTATTAGGAAACCAAGAATCTTCGTTAATATTTTGCAAAACATTCAAATTAAAGTAATGATAAAACAAATCAGATAGTCTATATAATTTGTTACAATACAGTTCAATAATACTTGAGTATTCGTTGGACACGAAATATGACACATTAAAAAGAACTTAAATTGACAAATGACGTTTACAAATGGCTGAACACTGTTGAGCCTAACCCATAAGTAAATCAGTTGACATTAATCTAGCACAACGTATGTCAATAATTCTTAAATAAGCATTAGTCAAAATGTAGTTAGTTGATCGGCAAAATAGCACACGTCAATATTATTAAAAGATATTTGATTTTTACCAAACCCTGTTGAGCCATCCCATAGGTTTGAAAATATAAATATAATTTGTCACGCTCATTTCACTTTTGCAAACTAATCATAAAATATCGCAAATGGTAAAAAACTCAAAATTTGTAATATTTCATATTGTACCAAACATTTTTTGACCAACCCAAAGTTTGATATAAAAAATAATTTCAGCAAGTCTATGGCGTGTGTAAGTCGGCCGAAGCCTCCGTCATTCTGGGGCCAGACCACATTGCTGCTGGTGATAGCTCTACACTCTGGTAGTGCCCAAGTAGACCTACCCCCAGACTCTCTATACTTCGACCCTCGGTATCAGTTCGACCCGAGCCAGAGTCGAGCACAGGGGAAGTCGTACAGACCGTACAACCCCTACAGTCAGCCAACCCCCGAGACATACACTCCCGGGAATAAACCGGTTAAGGAGCTGAGCTTGGATGAAGCTCTCAACACTTTTTTGAAGACGCAGGACCCCAAGTACTACAACTACTACCAGAAGGGTGACCACAGGGATGGTTCCTCGGTCCCTGAATCTGCGCATTCCCCACATTCTCCTCAACCTCTACATCCTGCAGACCCTCAGGTCGCCGCCCTGCTCAAGCAGATAGACAGTGTCGGGTCTCAGCAGTGCGCCGCCAATGTGCTTGCCCAGTGGAACTTTGAAACCAACGTCAACGAAGTTACCCAGTTGGAAGCGGTGAGTTCAAAGTCATTTTTCATATGTAGGTAGGTAGTTGCTAAGATTTAGTGTATAAGTGGAGATTCTGTGGAACTCGAGATATATGTATTTGTGCTGACACTCAAAGAGCAAGACCGAGGAGTTAGGCTACATCCATCAAATCCTATAACGACGCCAAAATGATCTGCAAGAAGTGACTTATAAACTATTCAAAATCCATAATGGCAATATAAAACACAAAATCGTTCACACATGCAGTGAATAACTTTTTAAATTCATGGGAGATATTTTCTTAACAGGAGGGGTATTATTTTATTAAATTTAATAAAATTAATACCAAGAGTTTGTACCAAAAGTTAATAGCGTTAACTCCCTCCTGATCACAATGTTTTGGGAGGAATTTACATTATAATCGATGTTGTCACGATCAGTTTCATCCACATCTGCGACGAGCTCTTGTTTTATCAAGTATTGTAGTAGGCCTGAGTTTGTAGTGAACGAGATCAAAGACCATTTATACCACGGACAAATCCCCCAATGATGTAGTTTGTGACGGGGTAAGGAAAACAAATTGTTGTAATCTTTGCAAAAACATAGATGGAGGATTTCAGGTACACAGAGTTAAAAATGCCATCCTCTTTCTAAAGATTTTAGGAATAAATTGCGAAGATATTAAAAGAAACTAACTTCAATTGAAATAAAAAAGTAGATATGATTGGGAGTAATAATTTAGAAAAATTAAATATGATGTTTCTTAAAATTCGTAATCTTCACTTCAGCGTTTTATCAGAATCCGTAACTTTAAATGTCCTAATGCTAATGCTAACGTGCTAAGCTTCAAAAAAGATGGAAATGGCTAAAGTAGCTCGTATATGCACTCTTTATCAAGGTATTTACGGTTTAAAGAAGGCTATAGATAATTATTGTGACAACACGATGAAAACATCTACTTAAAATTAATTGCGTTTTTTTTAAGACGCGGAGTTTGCAATACTATCTAGAGACTTTACAAGAAGCCACAGCTTAACTCGTAATTGGAGGATTTTTATTTTCTACTTTGGAAAGCTAGGAAAAGTTTGATGGGACCAATACATCAATATTCTCTTAACTCCGTGATTACTTAATCCTTTTTGTTTCCAACTTCCGCCCCGTGTAAAAAAATGTTTGGCACACGAGGGCAATTTTGAAATTTCAGTTTTACCAAGAATATAGCTTATCTTAAAAATATAACAACCAATTTATTAAATGCCTATCAAAAATTATTTGACATGTTGAATGTAGTTACATGAAATATTAACTATAGAAATATTACTTGATTTATTGAAATCTAGATGATTGTGAACCCGTTCATTCGTATGGTATTTACCAACGGATAAATGCCGGACGAGTGGTGATTTTAGTAAATGTAGGAGTACACAAAATTATGAGATATAAGTTTTTAAATCAGCTTAAAAAACTTGTGTAGATTCTCAAGGGGGGATAAATATACCCAGTTTTGGTAAATCCCTACTCAATGAGTAAAATTTGTGAATAATACAGTACCATTAAAGTCTTAAGGTGGACAGTTTTTAGCAAATTTCGCTATATGGAAGTAGCTATTACCGTAGGTGGCACGATAAGCCCGGGACCGATTTACTTTTTCATTTTATATATAGAGTTATATATGTGTCCGTGAACGCGATAAATAGAGTAATTTCTGTCCGATTTTAATGAAATATGGTTTGAAAGTGTAAGGCGGGATAAACTTCGATGAGTTCACGAACCAGCATGATCGGACCATGGGAACGGGGATTTACGGGAGTTTTATGTGGTAAAAATTAGTTTGTCTCATTTTTTATCTTCAAAACTCAAAATGTCCCAATTTCTTTTGAATAGATTTAATTGAAAATCATTTCAGGGAAATGGAAATTCGCTTAGACGGCAGGTTTGCTGTAGCGAGGGTATTTATACTTTAAAACCCTACAATAATATAATATATGTCAATAATCTTCTATATAAATCACGCGCATCGAATAATTCCCTACATAAGTACACGAACTTACATATTCCAGTTTATGAGGAAAATACCCTCGCTGCAGCAAACCTGTAGACTAAGCGAATTTCATTTGCACTGTTGTATTATCACTAATATATTTCCTTAAAATTGTCTGATTTATTCCAATTTAAGTAAAATTAAGTTTAATGAGTATGCAGGTACATTGCTACAGGAAAGGTAATTAGATAAGATGATTAGATAAGTATGAAATAAAAAGTATGAAAACTGGCTCATGTACATATGGATTTGAACAGATTGTGTTTTGGCCTGAAGGACGAAAAAAGTAAATCGGCCCCAGTATCGAATACAGGTCTTACCATGAGATCTACGGCAATAGCTTAGTACTGTAGTTAATGTGGGAAATTTGCTAAAACAGAAAATGTAATACTGTGTTATTGTAAATAAAAATACAGTAAACGTTTCCTACAGACCATCAAGAGCAAAATGTCTTTCCTAGTAAAATGTACTTGTAAATTGCACCTTATTGAATAGGGTTGCTGGAAGGTTTACCACAAAGACAATTTGCTTCAAACGACCTTGAGTAGTTATTATCACTCCTCTGATAGGCGCGAGACGATCTGATCACCATTAACACCTATAAAAGGCATTTGTAGTTTAATTCAATGAGTTACGTAGGCACTTCCATTGTGAACTTTGATTGGAAAATATAGGGAGTAAATGTAAGACTAAGGTTTTCCCATTGATTTGTTGTGCAGTAGATCTGATTATATGTATTATGAAGATGATTAGATCGAAGTTGATGCTTTAATAGTCTGACAAAAGCCGCAACAATAATAATGCTGCAATGTTGTGCAGAATTAAATTTTTTCAAAGACGTTTGGTTGATACTGTAGCACCATATTTTATAATTTATTAAAGAAAAAAATGTTCTATAAAATTAATTTTTCTTGGATGTATATAATCATATCAACCACATGGTGGCCAAGCTTTACTTGAGAGCAGGGCTATTATTTTGTATTTTCCACCAACCGTATGTAAATCTTTAATCTTACATTGTCTAATCGGAAAATCCTCGTAATTTCCTGTATTTTGGTAAGTAAGCATACTTATTAATTGTAAACCCTACATAGAACATGTTAAGGACTAAAATGGTTTAACGTGATTGTAAATCAATATAATTTACTATAGGAGTTTCTCTGTGGATTTCCGATAATACTATCACCAAATTTCGCAAGAAAGCGTTAATTTACAACCTTAATTTCAAGCAGAAATAAGGTACATATAAAATTAACCTTACCCAACCATCACACTAGTTAAGAAATATTTTCAAAATAAACATATGTATAGGATTTATAATGATTGGGGGAATAGTTTCAAGTTTAGTTTTCTTTACAACTTTAATCACAAGACCGAATAATGCATTGAGTTGAATAAATTACAAATATCTTTTCGCGCCAAATTGTCATTTGAATTGTAAAATATCCTTGCTGCAGCAAACCTGCAGACTAAGCTAATTTATTTTTGTAAATTTTTAACTAAAGTATGTCCTTAAAATTTTCAGATTTATTCTCTTTTTAAATAACATAAATTTTTTTAGTACTCATGTTTGCTGCTACAGGGAAGGGAAATGTGTTTTTTTGTTTATTTAGATAACATTACTACATTACAGGCATGGTGACCAATTACGATGCAGAACTAAAGTTTAAGTATATTCACAGTCTTCTTGGTACACACAACATCACAACATTACAACATATTTACATTGTGTTAATATTAATAGTATAGTATGAAATAAATAAATTTGCCAAATTTGATCAAACTATATCCAATAAACAAGCATACTTCAACAATTTACTTTTGTTCTATAAGAATAACATGGACATTTTAAGTGTACTGTTTTAAAGCATTTTCTCCGTAACCTTCAATCCAACAATAAAGCTTCAGTATACAAAACTACTGTTATTTTGAGCTCTGCACGATAGTTTTAATGAAAGTCTAATATTTTTATGCCTAAGGGTAAGGGCAAGGATTTATTACTCAATTATTTATATAGAAACGATCTCAGATTCAAACACTCCTTTTCACTTTTTACTTTTAATATGCCCTGATTTGACTGTATTAGTAGTGAAACCGCGCTTCTTTAGCTTCTCTAATGTCCCTTTGTGTAACATCTGCAGTAAATCGATAAAATCCTTTGATAGAAACAAATTTCTTTTCAATTTATTATTCATCCCTCTATAAAATTATATATTGTTTCCATCGTTCTATAGAAATAATTAGCAAGGAACATAGTGATTGAAATAATTGTTTTTTTTATATATAATTGAAGGTTTTTTCCAATTTCTACTAATGAGAAGCGTGAATTGTTACCACATAGACCGAGTTCATATACTAATAAAATTATTTCATATATAGGTAATAATATCAGTTTCGGTAACACTATTCAAAAATATTTTAACTAGGTATTTAATTAGTATTATTTTATTTAATACAAGAAAGAGGTAAACATTTGAAATTTAAAATGTGCTGCATGAAAACCCCTTTAGTTCGTAATTCGAAACGAAACAGAACAGAAATGGTCAGAATCCTGCTGTATTGCATTTCAGTGGCACACGTGAAGTTAAAATTCTGGTGAAGAAATCATACTGTAAGTCATAAAATAAACTCACCCTGAATTCATAAAATAAATATTGTCTTATTTTATTACATCATAAATGTAAGTGACCTTGTTACCTCTTGCACAATGTAGTATTTCTTCCCTGTTTACGTTCATTTAATATTCAGAAATGTGTTAAAACAAAAGTGTGTTCTCGTGCGCTATATATCTAAAGAATATGAATATCTGTAGAAATCATTGAAATACGTAAGTGGTTTCACAAGCCGTTTTACAAAGAGACTTGATCTTTTTAGAATATGTATACGTGTTATTAAAAAAATATATATTTGGGACATTTTCCATCATGATTATCAAACCCATGCCACAGCAAACCTGAAGACTGAGCGAATTTCAATTTGTCTTTTT